AATTTTATTATTACTAGGTTATTATAAGGTACATTCAATTGTTTTAATATTAATTAATTAGTAATAAAAGTACATATGTTAAATGCTTTTTTAATTATATTATTTATATCATTGGTATGTCTTGAAATAAACAGAACATGTTGACTCTAATATTTTGTACCAAGAAACAAAATAAATTTATTAGTCGCAACGCACAAAAATAATTAACACTTCACTAAACTAAAAAATAAAACAAACAATAGCGAAACAATGAAATTATCTAATTGTGTGACTAAAAGGCCACATCTCAGCCTTTGCTGTGGCCCGTAAAAGTGTAGATAATTATGTTACAATGGCCGATAAAAAATCTTAATCTTTTATCTTTACCGGCTCTCGGTATTTAGTTGTTTAGATGCTGGATGGACAAGACACTGTTGAATTGTGTAGAATTTATTACCCTATTTGTCGTAATTCCAAGAATTGTTTTGCATTCATGTCAAATACTGATAACATACTGAAGTACCATTACAATAACAATGGGTTTATGTGTCCTTTTTATTATTAGTGACGGCTCTTTAAGACATATTCTTTTTTATTTATTAGTACATGGATATACTTGTTAGTATGTACTTATTATAATTGGTAATAGATGTTTCTAGATTGAACGCTAGGTTTTGTGCTAGGCCAGATTTCTGTAGACGTAAACGTCACCCGGTCCTTAAACCGCATTACTCATTAACTCGATTATTCGCTGCCTTTCAACCAATGCCAATGTAATAGATATTTAATGCTTTCAGAATGTTTGCGAAATACAAACAGGCGGGTTTAAGGCGATAATTCTTTAAAAACTAGCTTCCATCACACAGCTTTTGTGACAACAGCATTCTGAAAGTCATTGCTACAAGGTACATTGTTGGTCCATGTTGTGCTTACCGGTAAGTAGCGAGATGTCAGTTCGAAGACATTTAATTAAATACATTAAAATTGAACTCGCCGTTGGTGACCTAATAAATAAATATTTTAACCGCACTTTTTTACCTTAAGTTTATATTATTGTGTTAGTTTTTGACGATTTTCTATATTAATTAGACTAGATATTACTGGTATCCTAATATAGAGAGATATACGGATACTCTTTATTGCAAACCAAAAACATTATCTAGAAATAGGTATCCAATGGGCGGTTTTATCGCATTCTGCCATCTCTCAAAAGGCCAATTCTTGGAATAAAAGTTCGGTCACAATTCAGTTCTAAATGTTCTGATCAACTCTCGATTCACAACTGTCATAAAAGGTATTGTCGTAGTAAACTATTAAACATCCAACGTTGTCTGTAATGTGATTAAATCGTATTGTAACCGAAAATTGAATCGGTAATCTGATAGTCTTAGACAGTACTTTACCATTTTATTACCATGGAGATAAAAAAATCATATAATAAAATCGAGTTAATAGAAATTATTTTAAGGAAAACTTGAAACAAACCCTTTTTTTTTTTTTTAACGTGTGGAAATTCCCTCGGACGGTCACCCCACCGGGGTTTGCGGCGGGGTGGTGTGTCGGACTTTGACTTTAAGTTGACCACGATTGAGGCGCCAGGGGGTGGACCACGACGGGGCCCATGAAATAACAGAGCCTCCGTCTTATCCAGGGCCACCCGTAAGCCCAGCGCCTCAATGCGCCCGACCACCAGGGCGACTCTCCTTGTGGCCAGGCGTTGAAACAAACCCTATACCAACCCGTCTGGCCAGCGTGGTATAGTAGGCCAAAACCTCCTTTCTAAGTAGAGGCTTATGTCCAGCAGTGGACTGTTAAAGGCTGTTGATGTGATGTGATGTGATTCTGGCTAGTTACAGGGAAGGCGCATCACAATGGCGGACTGTAGGCACCTACCTAATCCTGAAATAACATGGTCCGTGTCCTCCCAGAGTACGACATCTGAGGCCGGCCATTGGGGTGGTTTTTAGTGGATTCATCAAATACTCCTGGCTCCTGAGTACCCGAGGAGCAGGAGATCAGAAGGGGTTTTCCACCCCGTCAACAAAAAAAAGAGGCTCAAAGATAAACAAGTCGGGTACCTACCTAATCCAACAGTCAGTATTACTGTATATCTTTATATATATAATTCTTCTGTGAGTGTGTATGTCACTTAACTTCTCTCAAACGACTGGACCGATTTTGATGAAATTTTTTGTGTGTGTTCAAGGGGATCTGGGAATGGTTTAGATTCACAATTTTGTCCGCTGGACAATGTTTTTTTAATTAATTTTTAATTTATTAGTAGTTGTTGATTTTGGAATGTTTTACATTGGATCAGACAGACGGCGCTACCATCGCAGTGTCAAATTTGACAGGACAACGTCTGTCGGGTCCGCTAGTATAATATATATATACAATATACCCGAATATTTTACCTGAGGCCCTAGCCCCATCCATATTTCTCCCAGATCATACAATTGTTTTACATTCACGATAACTACTGATAAGGTAATAAAAAATAAAGAGGTAAACATTTACTTCTTTATTGTATTTTTGCGGTTACCGAAGTATCATTGTATTAAGTCCTTTGTTCTTATATTAAATGGTCTTAGAAAAGTTCCCAGAAATGTAAACTTCCGTCTGAGGTTTTAGAATTAATAATATACCTACCCCTACCGTAAATATGAGTTCTAGTGTAAATTTTAGCAGTTTTAGGTCAAAATATTATAAAGTAGAAGATTCTTCAAATTTAGAATTTAGTTATATAGAATAAACAATAATTGTAAGCCAATAAATTTTTAAGCTGTGTGTCCTTACTTGCATGCTAGTTTGAAAACATAGTTTTTTCATTTTTTTTTTTTTTAATTAAGTAAAATATTATTAATGTAATGATGTCTCATTAAGTATATGCCCATGTTATACCTGTTGTTAATATTGGTGCTAATATATAAAATTTTTTAACTGTCAATATACTAAATTTATCTTTTTTTTGTTTTGTTGGTATAATAAAAACACTACGAGCGAGCTATTAAAAAAAAATTAAGCCTAAACGTGCCTGACTTTTTTTTTTGTTGACATTGTTTTTTGCCAAGGCATACATTACATTTACTTTAGCAAAACTTACACCAGTTGAAGTCGGGGCAGGTAGCTAGTAAGGAAATGAAACAAAAAAATACTTAACATTACTTGTATTTAATAAATATATTTGATCACATCTAAAATAAATCCCGTTTAGTTCTATCTTATCATTAAAATTATCATCCTTGTATAGAACGTGTCCGTGTCTAATTCTTTCTTATATATATTTGCCAGATCATAGTCATTGGTGCTAATTCTGTTGTTCAAAAACTCTCTAAACTAAACTAAAAATCACTAAAAAAAAATGTATGTCCTGTCAAATATTACGTTTTCAGAATAGGAAACGTTTTTTGGCAGAACTAAACAAATTTTTAGTGATTTTTAGTTTAGTTTAGAGAGTTTTCGTACAGAATTAGCACCAATATAATTTTTACCCGAGGACCAACTGTCGACTGTGAATTGTTGTCTCAAATCACATATATGTATCTTAAATATAAAAAATATTAAATATAATAGTTTAAAAACAATTATATTTTGTTTAACACTGTACAATAAATAAAAGCTATCGTGAGCGATATTCATACCTAGCTTGTTTCAAAAATTGTTAGCTACAGAATAAATAAACACTCTTTTTTCTTGGAACTATTTTGAATTCTGATTTTAATACAAATCTCTTTGATGAAAAGCATTGGCCAAATATGTGTAGTTATTTTTTAAATATTTTTAAAAACTCAACCAGTCACTTCTATTTTCAAAAATGTCTATTTTCGCGCTATAATTTTCTATGATAATGAACAAAGATTTACCTTCAAGGAATCTCACGAAAATATACAAAAGTTTCGTGAATTGAAACGTGGTCGAGAGAACGTTAACTATGGCCCAGACCCAGGTAACCTACAACTGCGATAACTCATGAAAATACCATCAGGATAGTGGTTTTTGCAGGAGAATAGACACTAAAAAACATGTTTCGTGGGCGAAAATTTAACACTGCAGAAGAGGCCGTCAACGACAACATCAGAATTTAGGCGATTTTTTCGACCTACCGCCAGATACATTTTTTTTAAATGTTTTTAAGGCTGGTTCATCCGAATGCATAACTCTATAGGGTTGGAGGGGGAATATCTTAAAAAACTATAAATAACTTTTTCTACATTTCAACTATTTTTAGGTTACTAACAATTTTTAGAACAGCCACGTATTTATTATAAAGGATTAACTTTTTACATACATGAGTAAAACCTTTTTTCTTATATTAAAGGGATTTAGTCCGGCATTATATATCTGAAATATTGACTTATTTCTTAAGAAACGGACACACTATACTAATTTTTATACTATCGCGTTCCATAACATATAATTATGTTTACGGGAATTACCAGCCTGTGGTGACGGATTAAGGATACAGAGTGTCACCACCCCTATTCATCCCGTGGGTGTCGTAAGAGCCGACTAAGGGAGCAAACTACGCAAAACAACAGCACTGCAAAGAGAAGGAAAACTTGACACAAACCCTATACCAACCCGTCTGGCCAGCGTGGCATAGTAGCTTCTAAAGAGAGGCCAAAGTCTAGCAGTTGACTATTAAAAGGTGTTTGTTGATGGTAATACCTATTGTGAGCTCGTTAATTCCCGTATACATAATTATTTATGTCTATCCGTTTAATTAACGACCGGATGGCGTAGTGGTTTGTGCAACGGACTGCTATTCCAAAGGTCGCGGGTTCGATTCCAGCTCAAGTCAAACATTTGTGTGCATGAACATTTGATGTTTGATTTGGTCTGGGTGTTTCTATGTATAATATGTATGTATTTACAAAAAAAAGTATATGTATTTATATCAGTTGTCTAGTACCCATAGTACAAGCTCTGCTTAGTTTGGGACTAGATGGCGTTGTGTGTATGTGGTTGAATGTTATTATTATTATTAATTATAATTAAACGGACAGACTCTCCAAGTGTGCTCAAGGTAAAATCTCAAGCTCATGTGGTAATGGGATGCTTTTCATGATCGCGAATCGTTTAAGAGCGTCGTACTTGCCCCGCAGGGCGTCAATCTCTTCACGGAGGCGGTTGTTTTCGTCTTGCATCAATTCCATGTCGTGCCATTCCTGTAATTCCAGTTTACATAACACAAATTAAAAATTTGTATCGCCCACATCAAGCGGTTTAGTCCAGCTTCATGTCTAAGTTACCATATCACGGTAATAAAACTAAAGTAACAGTGCACAGAGCTGTGTAATTTAATGAGATCTATTCATCTACTAAGAAATGACCTGATGATCTTGACAATAATTTTATAAAGTTCAAAAAGAAAAATAATTTTATCGTAAAATGCTTGGGAGCTAGATCTTAATTTTTTTTTTATAACTCCCGCATTAGGAATATATCCAGTGTCGCGGAGGACTGTACAAATATACATGAAACGGACACAAAGAACACCCAGACTCAGAACAACAATTTAGGGATCACACAGTGTCGTCCCATGTGGGGATCGGACCCACAACACTTAGAGCGCAGTAGTAAGCAGCGTGGCGACCACTTAAACCACTACGCCATTCGTAAACTGTTGTAAAAATATTTTATTGACAGATTTTAGTAAAATTATTTTATTATAAAATATCTTGAAAAACACCCCATACTTTATACGACGAAATGATTTTTCTTTTTGAAGTTTTAGAAGATTATTTTCTACTTTTTAGTCAGTCTAGTTCCAAAAGCGTGTGTTTTTTAGTCATTAATGATGATTATTTTCTCATTAAAACTAAAAAAGTAACAAGTAAATATGCTTCAGAACACGCCTCTTAGTACGTAGCAAAAGACACTACCGTATTTTTAGGTATGGAAAAAGCCGTTAATCCTGAAGATCCTGATCAGGATAATCGGCCAAATTTATCAAATTATTGTATTGTCATCGGTCCTTAATAAGTGTGCGAAGTTTTGATTTAATTCGACGTTTGGAAGTTTAATTCAAAGTTTGGAAGTGGGTCAAAACCACGTTCGAAGATTTCGTTACATACACACATTGATACATACCAAGCTATTAAAAGCCAGTAAAAAAACGGGGTGACCTTAAAAATTATGATGGCGATATCATAGTAAGAAGAAGCAGATCAACTGATTGTGACTACCACCGCTATTGGAAACCTTACTCAAGATTCCCCCCTAGTAAAAGAATAATACAATATTGCTGGTACGTCACAGTACGTAGAAGTTTACACTAATTTATTTTTAGCAGATAAGTTAACTAACCAGGACAACAGCACTGCAGACAGAAGGAAAACTTGAAACAAACCCTATACCAACCCGTCTGGCCTGCGTGGTATAGTAGGCCAAAACCTCCTTTCTAAGGAGAGGCCTATGTCCAGCAGTGGACTAGTAAAGGCTGTTGATGTGATGTGAAGTTAACCGACCTGACTCTTTTCAGTTTCCAGTTCATCTTTCTGTTCGATTCGTTTGATGCGGCACGAGGCTGCGTACCCTCGATTCTTGAGGGTTCGACGGCGCTGTTTCATTCTGAAAGTAAATAGTAATTACTATGACCATGGGTTTGGTACAGAGATAGTCTGAGATCCGGGAAAGGACATATGATAGTTTTTATTCCAGCAATCATCTTTTAAGGGGGGTGGAAATTTGTTGGAGGAATCAATAACCACAACCGATTTAGTGAATGGGAGAGGCCTATGTCCAGCAGTGGACTGCGTTCACATGACAGACCTTTGTCTGTACTAAAACCGTTCTTTTTTTGTAATAGGGGACAAAAGGGACTATCACAACCCATAGGCATATCCTGACACCAGCTTTCGCTCGCGGCCCTGCGTGTATCGCGGTAAATAGTAGCCTATGTCAAGGATCCTCAAGCCTTCCTCAAGAATCAAATTATACCCATACCAAATTTCATCTAAATCAATTAAATGGTTATTGATTCCCCATACAACCTTCCACCCTCTTTTCACCGCCTTGAAAAGATGATTGCTGCCATAAAAACTTTCCTATGTTCTTTCCAGGGTTTCAAAACTATCTGTGTACGAATACGAATATCCGTGTGGTGACGGATTAAGAATACAAATTGTCACCACCCCAATTCTTCCCGTGGGTGTCGTAAGAGCCGACTAAGGGAGCAAACTAAGCAGGACAACAGCACTGCAAAGAGAAGGAAAACTTGAAACAAACCCTATACCAACCCGTCTGGCCAGCGTGGTATAGTAGGCCAAAACCTCCTTTCTAAGGAGAGGCCTATGTCCAGCAGTGGACTAGTATAGGCTGTTGATGTGATGATGATGTGTGTACGAAATGTCATCTAAATCGGTTCAGCGGGATTTCTGTCCGTATTGGTACGCTAGAGTTCAGTAAAACATATAGTAGGAATTGTTGTGGCTGTATGATAATTTGAGATCTTAGTTGTACAATAATCCATCGCAGTCAGGTTATAATACTACTACTACTAATTATTGGTAATAAATAAATGGTTGCTAAAGTGACACTCAATTACCTGACGATTTGATCTCTTGTGAGGCCCCTCATTTTCAGCTGCCGGTTAAGATCCCTCACAGATATAGAGACCAGCTCATCATCGCTGATCTCAGCACAAGGAGTAGGTGATAAAGGAGGCTGGAAATACAAAAGTTGGATTTTAACACTTGGAGATCATAGAATGTATGGTTTAGTAACCTTAACATGTTTAGATGATTGTCAAGATGAGTGAGTGGAAACTCGGTGATAAAAATATCCTCAAACATATTGCTCACAGCTGTCTGATCCCAAACTAGGCAATGCCTGTACTATTTGTACTGTACTATGTCCCATACTGCAGAGACTGTCCCATCTTTTCTGACTTTACTGGAAAGTAAGAAACCTACTTAAATTATAAATTTCAAATAGACATATTTATTTATTTATTTTACAACTTAAGCACTTGTGTACATCGGCAGACTTAATGCCAAGGGCATTCTCTACCAGCCAACCTTGGGGTGGTGTAGAATTCTCGTGAGGTAGGTGCACTGAGGTTACAGTTGTAATAGTAGCATATATAACATAGACATACATATATATACATACATATACTTTATATTCATACACTGAAAATAGGGAGGTGTTCTATCGAGTAGGTAATTCCACCATCTGAAGAAGGTAGCTATGTACATGCTTTTTATATGTGAAACGGTTTTGTGAACATCCTGATTTCAAGTGGGAGAGCATTCATATCATTAGATTTTTGGGTATGTAGGTTAGGGTTCCTAGGTAAGTAGGTTAGACGCTATTTAACAGTATATAGTATTTTTTTTATTATTATGTAGAGAATGGTAGTTATGTATATGAATAATAAAAATAATAATTTTACTGTTATTATAATTTTAAAGATTTACTGTTAAATAGGCGAAATAGGATCTTTATGCATCGTCTGCTGTCTGCTTAAATCCTCAATCCTCAATCCTCAATCCTCGGTGAAAAATAGGTTATTTACTCACAAATATCGCGTAACTAGCAAAAGATTACTTATTGTCGAATGTTTAACCTTGAACTAACTCACCATGATTGATTTCCTTCCACCTAACTCTTTCAAATCATGAGGCATATTATGTTTTTGATGAATCTTCTAGAATAACGGGACAACCCCGTTATAACCTAAATTTCACTTTAATTTGCAGTTAGAACTGTTTATAGTAACAGCATTAGTTATTAATCGGACAGTAATAAAATGTATTAAAACCAAAGCTTTTTTCGAATATCAATATTTACAATGCGTAGGGTAAACAATAAAGCACTGACAACCACGACAAGAAAAATAATTTCTAGTGTTGGCCTTGTGTTGTTGTGTTTGGTAATTTAGTTCAAAAGTACTTGGTAGAAATGGAATAGTAACAAGTCAACGCATAATACTCATATTTACATTATTTATTTTAACGTAATAATAATAATATAACAATAAAAAGAATCATTTACAGTCCATAGTGTTAGTGTATCACCAACAATTTGCTTGTAATTATCTTAATAATTTTAGTTTCAATTAAGTTAGTAATGTTTGGCTTTTAACTGCCCTTATCCAATTAATTAAATAGGGCAATCAAACCTCTCGGCAATGACTTTAAAATTGATATTGTCTGTGATTCGCGGACGCCTTAGCATCTTCTATCCAGCAGGATTAAAGCTATATTTTACTAATGATCGCCTGGAATCCATCAGTTTTCATGTCCTTACCTTGCTCTTCACATTGTGCAAACCAATGCGATCACACATCTTGCTTCTCAGTGAGAACACCCTGCGCTCACTCTGTGTATCCTCAACTCATCGTCATCTATCAGAATATCTCACTTATTTAACAACCAGCTTTATTTCAATGTCGTTAAAGTAAACAAAAGTTACGGGCTGATGTTTGTTTAATTAATATATTAAGTAAAATAAGTAAACATTAAGTAGGACTATAAATGTATTTTTTCCTAAACAGTCGATTGTTCTAGAAATCGATCAGATCGCCATCCCTAATCCTTATTTTCAATCTGTGCTTGATTAACGACGCCGTATAGATAACGGCACCCATCTTGAGCGCTGATCTTACCTGCGCAAGTGTCGACTTTCGGGTCCCTTTCTTGGATGGAAGAAGATTGGCTCACCGATTGTCGCTGCTCGTGATTTGTTTTCTCATACCTAACGACGACGAGTACACTCCCAAATAATTTTATAAAGACTTTCTTTTCTAATTAATAATTTAATCATTTCTTCTTCTATTTTCATCTATTTAATTTTGTGGTAGTTAAAAATTGAGATATTTTGTGTAAGAGTATTAGATAGCTTAATGTATACTCTAATATGTACAACACAATAAATACTAATAATAAATACTAGTTTTTTTTTTGGAAAGTGGTTTGATGGAAGCGGTCACTCCTATTTAACCACAATAATTTTAAAACTATTTTTTTTTTACGATTAATGACGAAAATTATTTTCTACTTTTTAGGTCGTCTAGTTTTTTAGACTATCATTTCTTCTTGGTTTTTTAGTTATGTTAAAAAATGATGATTATTTTCTCATTAAGACTAAAAAAGTAATAAGTAAGCAAGTCACATATGCTTCAGCACACGCTTCTTAGTACGTTGCAAAAGACACTACCATATGTTTAAGTATGGAAAAAGCCATTAATCCTGAAGATCCTGATAAGGATTTAGCAAATTATTGTATTGTCATCGGTCCTTGATGGGTGTGTTTCAAGTTAATTCGAAGTTTTGAAGTATTTCAAAATCAAGATCGAAGATTCCGTTACTTAGAAACTTTTATTAGCTCGGTATGTAACAATGACAATAAATGGCATTTTATTTTTATTGTTTTGCATGAAGCGCTAAGCCATCCCCACCCTACCGCCGAGCTCTTAGGATGCCGTGCCGGTGCCGAGTGCCGGTCAGTGCCATAAAAGGGAGTAGACTAGTCTTGTGCTTAATCGGACATCTGCAGGTTCGCACCGTACTAGTACAGTTCGTACAACGTACTAGCACACCGTAATAGTACTATTAGTACAGTTTTAGTAGAAGTAGAAAACTTAAGCGTTTGTGTTGATATTACCAACATTAATGAAACGGAATACTAATAATTAAATAAATTAAAATATGTAATTAAAAACAATTATATAGTTTTTTTTTAATAAGATGGCTTTGTATTAGGCAGTTACTTTTCTTCAGTATAGAAATAATAACACAGTTATTGACTATTTTTAATGTGTTATCCCTTTCTGAATCCCATAAACCCTAACAGTTTGACTTTTAAATACGATTTTTTAGATTACTTTACACTAAATTTTTAAGCATATTGTAGTACATCAGGCATCGCTGTCCGTTTTACTCTCACACTGTGCATTAATAGTACGTCGTACAGCGAACGAACGTAGACACTAGTAGACAGAGTAAACAATAGATAGTTTTAGTACTGCGCTTGAAGTTGACACTGTGTACTAATAGTGCAAAATGTCCGATTAACAGCTGCCTTTCGGAAACATTACTTTTAGTACAATACCCAGTACTAGTACCTATCAGTACATCGTACGTGTACTACCCAAGACTAGAGTAGACGCATTCAGTTATCGGTTCGCGTTCGGCAGTGTCGGTCGTTTCGTGGTATATTTACACAGTGCAAAGTGTTATAAGTGTGTGTAACATGTCTAAGAGAAAAAAAATAATTGATTCCGACGCCAGCAGCGAGTGGTCTGATAAGGAAATGGAGTCTGTACGTATTTTTTTATTTAAGACTTTAAATTATATATGTGTATACATGTATGTGCGTAACGCATTTATGGCATTTTTCAATTATTTCACAACTTAAATGGGCAAAGATTAATGTTTTTTCGTGCTAATTCAATCTTTTGTGAACAATATACATGGCAAATATATATACCACGTTTGCTTGTTCGTAAATTGTTAAAACTGAGACCCGTGGGCTTTTCCTTTGAAATCGTTGTTGTTTATGTAACAGTATTATTTAAATGTCCTTTGTTATGTAAAATGAATGAATATTAAGACTCCCACTTTTAAAAACACCGCGCTTGATCCAAAATCAAAATGATTATAGAGTGGTAATTTTAGGAATGGATAAAGAAAAGTCAGTAGTAGGGGAAAAAATAAAACACCATTTTAACTACCTAGCTATACAGAACTCTCATCAGAATCTACTTTAATTTCTCTTTTTATCTAATTTTTATCTCTAAATTCTTCCTAGTTAGTCTGTTGTTGATTTCTAAGTAGTTCTGCCACATTGTAGCATATTATTTGCACTGGCTGGAGGCTCAAGCCAATGGTTAAATTTCTTATTCTTGTTAGTCTAGTGGTTAATAATCCCGCTTGCTGAGTCTGAGTTTAATTCTCAGCCGAGACTTATAATATAGCCAATTATACTATATTGACCATGAGACGCCGGTGTACGCCTACTTCCTTGATCTCTCCAAGGCATTAAATCTCGTCTCGTATGATGTGTTAGTTATTCGGAAGGGGATGAGTACTAGGTATATACCCGCAGAAATATGTAGCCCGTTGCAGAACTGGTACAATAACCAAACCAATTATGTAAAGTGTACTCTTTCTGAGCCATATCGGTTGGATTGTGGGGTAAGACAGGGAGGTCTGACGTCTCCCAGGCTCTTCAATCTCTTTATGTATAATCTCATAACGGCCCTCAGCGGCATGCGTGTCTGATGCAGCGCTGATGGAGTTGTCATTAAGAATATTAGCTATGTAGACGATATGGTGCTGCTGAGTCCTACGGCTGGGGCTATCGGAGAGCTACTTAAGGTTTGTGAAGCTTATGCTGCCGAGTGTCGATACATGATATATGACAAATCGGCGGAAAATGGTCGGCAGCAAATCTCGTGAGAATGGCACTGAATTAGTTATGAACGGAGCGGCAAAAAAAGGTATCCACCTTTAAATACTTATGTCATGTTCGTGCCGATGACCTTAAAGATGTAGACATTGAGAGGGAGCATAGGGCTCTGGCGGTCTGATGCAATATGTTGGTCAGTAGATTTGCTCGATGTACAGACCTAGTAAAAATTACACTTTTCAAGGCCTACTGCCAGCGTCTTTACACAAGCAATCTATGGATCAACTACACCAAACAGAAGCTGGATGTCCTGCGCGTCCAGTAAGTATAATAAAGCTGGGTTGGGAGTTGGGACTGTCTCGTTACTGCAGCGCATCGGAGATATTTTCGCAAGCGATAGTTTTCACGCGATGTGGCGCAAAAAATCAGCTTCATTACTGAGAAGGGTGAGAAACAATCGGAACATCATCCTCAAAACTATAGCGGACAATTTCAACTCTCCGGTTAGAAAAACACCGTGATTGGTATTGGTATTAAAACTAGGTAAGAAATAAAAATTAAATGAAATATGGATTACTAACTACTAACTAAATGAAAAATTAATTGAACACTTTATACCTTGTTATTTCGAAATAAAAACTTTATTGTTATTATTAATAATTATATCATGAGTGTAATCATACGTTACTACTTAAAAAAAAACTAATGAATGTGGGAAAATAAACGAAGTAGAGTGTAAAAATGTGTTCGTGAACATAGGATTAGTGAATGAGATGAATATAGACGAAGTTACCGTTCTAACTTCTAAATTCTAACACTACGAAGTATGAAAAATAGACAAAAAATAAAAGTAAAAAATAAATGTGTCATTAAAATCGATAAACAAACAAGATATCAACAATTTGTAATTAGTTCTAAGTCGCATGAAAAACCTTGTCAACATTATTTAATTTACAAAAATAAATAACTGTTAAATTATAAAAATAATGTTCAAAAACGATAAAACTAAATACAGAAAATAACTTCAATCAAATAAAAAGAAATCGAATATAAATCAACAATTGACTTGTAGAAGAATAACGGGCTTATCACTTTATTATTTTGCATGTAAGTACAGAACATATTGTATGATTATTTTGATATGTAGGCAAACATTAAGTAATAGAAAATCTAATTTTCATTAGCAAGTATTGGTAAATAAACTGATGCAAATGACTTGCAAGATTGATCTGACAATGGCATTTAGAGTAACAATTAACAAACTTTAATGGATAGCATTTAAGTGGATAACCCAAATGCAATTACTCTTAATTACTTATTGTTAATAAAATTGTTTACAACTTGTAGTAGTAGAACTATAAAGTTAAGGTAAAAGGATTTAAGACTATAAATCTATTTAAAACGGTGTTTTTTTTTACTAAAAATTTGATAAATCCATCAGATCGCATCCCTACTCTTGATTTTTAGTCTGTGGTTGATTGACTACTCCGTGAAAGAGGAAAAAGCGAGTAGACAGACACAGACAGACGCATTCATTTTCATTCAGTAATCGGTTAACGTTTGGCAGTGTCGTTTTGTGGTATCGTTATACAGTGTAAAGTGTTATAGCAGTGCAAAATGGCTAAAAGAAAAAATAAACCGTTGATAGATTCCGATTCCAGCAGCGAGTGTTCTGATATGGACTCCGTAAGTCAATTTTTATTAAAAACCTTAGGTTATATATTCATGTCTGAACGTAACGATTTGATGGCATTCTGCAATTATTTGACTGCGTAAATGGGCCAAGATCAATGTTCCTTCGTGCTAATTTAGTCTTTTGTGCATAATATACATAGAAATATATCTACCATGTTTCCTTGTTCGTAAATTGTTAAAACTGAGACCCGTAGGCTTTTTCTTTGAAATCACCTTGTTTACGTTAGTGTTATTTAAATGGCCTCTGTGGAGTGAGTCATGTAAAAATGAATGAATATCAACATTCCCGCTTTTAAAAACACTACGCTTGATCCAAAATTCTAAAATAATGGGCATAGTGTGTTTTTTTTTTTTTAAATAGGTAATGTCAAGTACTGGAGTGGGGGAAAAAAATAAACACCACTTCAGCTGCAAAGCTGTATTCAGAACTGTCTTTGGTTATATAATTTTTAACTCTAGACTTTCTCTTTCAGACCTTTATTGATAATACTAGTACTAAGTAATAATTTTTCTCTTTTGTTGTGTAATTTCTCTTCTTTATATCATTTTACATCTCTTAATTCTTCCTAGTTAGTCTGTCATTGGTTTCTAGCTAGTTCTAGTCATAACCTACATTGTAGCATGTTATTTGTACTGACTGGAAGCTCAGCAGAATTGTTACTTATTCCTGGTAGTCAAGTGGTTTGTAATCCTGTTTATTGGACCCGATGTTACGCCAGTACAAGTTTGAAAGTCATTAAAAGGAGTTGGATATCGGTGGTTGATTTTATTCTTCAATTAGCCGGTGCCCGCCACTTTGTTCGCATGGAATTTGAAAATTTGTTGCCTCAGTGGTTTAGTACAGTATGCGGACTGCAGTCCATGAGGCCTCAGGTTGGATTCCCGGATCGGGCAAAACTTTACATGGCTTTTGTGAGGGGAAAAAGCCTAAGTTATTGGTTATATAGACAGCTACCTGGTTGTAAAATACTATCAAAATTGGTCCAGCCGTTTTGAAGATTACCTATAAATATAGGTATCGTGCAATAAACCAAGGGAGCATGAATATATTATTACTATTATTTTGACATTACATACAGACACAATGAATGGTGTCTGTTTCCTAGTGTCCATTTTTTAAAATTAAAACAGATGTCCTGAAGTGGAATTTATGATAGGCTGCAGTTTAACAGATGCCATATTGACATTTGTGTACAGAAAACTACATTATGGTGTTTGTTGAGCTAGGAAAGATGTTTAAATAGGGTCACAGGGGTTTTTGTAAGAAGAAAGAGTACCTGCTAGGTTTGTTAAATTGATTTTACGTTTTCTTCTTATTAATTGTTTACAAAAAATAATTACAGTGACTAATACAATTGTACAATACAATATACTATGCAGAACAACAGCACTGCAGAGAGAAGGAAAACTTGACAAAAACCTTATACCGACCCGTCTGGCCAGCGTGGTATAGTAGGCCAAAACATCCTTTATAGTGAGAGGCTTATGTTAGAAAGGAGATAAAGGCTGTTGATGTGATGATGTGTGACTAATACAATAATAGCAACTAAAAAACCAATAAGGTTTATACCTGTGCTATCTGTAATCTGTCTATATTACACACACTGACTTTCACAGGTATAAAGCATAACAACAAATCTTTTTTTTTTTTTTTTCTGAACATATTATTTTGATGTTTTTATAGAGGAACTCATAATTTTACTAAATACTCAAATACCATATCACCATAAATCTGTCAATACTGGAGTGCTTTGAGTTATAATTTTCACTCTTCCCAGTCTCCAGAAGGTACCCTGTCGCAACTCCCACATATAAAGAGAGAGTGAATTCTTCATATTGCGATACAGGATTAGCAATTCTCATTCACGAGTTACTCCGTAGTTCGGTGTGTCTTCGTTAGATGGCGCTGTGTGTATGTTTCTGTTTCTTTGTATGTGAGAGTCATCACATACCCTATGTACAGAAATGACCCCTCATTGTACTGTTTGCTAAAATGTTTTTAGTTTGTACAATACTTTTTTCGTGTGCAATAAATAGTATCTATGTCTTTATACACATTTGCAGTGCCATTTTGAATCTTGGCCCGCAGCAAAATGCAGTCTGTTTGATTCTGACAACTGACAATTTCTTCATTACTTCAAAATTATGATTAAAACTACCCTTGATGGCTCTAAAATGATTGCTATGTCATCTAATACATTATTTTCTCCACAGCAATTCCTGAACTTGGCCAAGAAAAAGAAGAAAACTGATGATTCTCCACCTCCATCGAAGTCCCAGGGTAAATCTTCAGATAGTGAATCCGACTATGATGATGATGATGACAAGAAAAATAATTGTAAGTGTTAGAATATTATTATTACATGAAGAATAGTTGAAGTAGTGTAGGTCAACTGCAATATGAATCTACATTAACGTCTCTTTGCAGCAAAATCCTCATCATCAAGCGGCTCAGACTCTGAAAGTGATGCCAGAAGCGACACGTCGAAGAAGAAATCTCCCGCCAGGAGTAATAGAAGGTCTTCTTCTGATCACTCAGAAGATAACAGAAAGAAACCTGAGCCCAAGAAGGCTGAGATCAGACGGAGTACAGATAGTACAGGATCTGGAAAGAAGGAGACTTATAGTGAGCCGGAAGAAGGTAACTTGGGTTTTCATTGCATCATCTTCCTCCTTTTGCCCACTTTAGGGTTGCAATGAGTTTTCTCAGTTTGGAGAAAGAAATTTAGTTAGGTTGATTTTATAGCTAATGGGTGATTTTTTAAAAGGTTTACTAGCAATCGAAATTACTAGTATTACCGTTAACCCATCCCGCTAAGCTAATTTGTTCGTGTCAGGAGTGGCCTTACGTCGGTAGTGTACTGTTTAGGTTTATTAATTGCCGTAAGAGAGCCATGCTTTGGGCTGGCCCGACCTGTTAATACAGAGGTCTTATGGAAAACCGATGTTACGCTATTTAATTGTTTTTTACTGAGTGAGTGAGATTTTTGACCTGTCTCCGAGGCCAATACATGTTGGCGTTGGTTAAGTTTATGACCAAATTAATTGTAAAAAAAGGTGTGTGTCAGCTCCAACGCACGACTGCAGTTTACTCCTTAAGAACGATTCGGCTGCACACAAGTATACAAGTTATACACATGTGAAAGGTGCGTACGACAGGTTACGCACAAAAAACGTAACGAGGTCATTCGATCACAAAATTTTACTCTTCATATTTTATTCATGAAAGTCTTACATGAAAGTCGATTCTAAGGAGTAAACTCCAAAAAACAAGATATGCTCCTTATGACGTGTGTGGGACTAAAGTTGCAGTAGGTCGTATAATTCGCCTCTGTTACCCTTCGGGGATAAAGCCTGAGTGCATGTATGTAATGATGCATGTATTTACAGGTGAAGTGTCGTCACATTCATCAGACAACGACTCCATTGACTCGGAAGAAGAATTTGATGATGGGTAAGTTTAGACTTATGAGACTTATCAATAGATGACAAGTATAGCCAACCTTCTTCCTTCCTTGGGTTACCTAAACCCAATCACTTCCCCCATCCTCACTGTAGGGGGGCCACATTAGGGAGTTTTAGAGTTACAAGGGTCAAAGAGTGGTGGTAGTTGCTTACCATCAGGTGACCTGCCTGCTTGTTTGCCCTCTGTACCATATAGAAATAACTAGCTGGTGTCCGCTACCTCGTTCGCGTGGAACTTGTAAAGAGCTGCACTAGTGGGTTCAATTCCCGGATTCAGGCAAAATTTTATAGGGTTTATATTATGGAAAAAATAGCCTAAGTTACTTCTTATATAGACAGCTACCTGATAGTAAAATATTATTAAAATCGCTCCAGCCGTTTTGAAGATTACCCGGAACAAACAGACAGACAGACAAAAGATATTTAAATTGATTTTCAGGCAAAGGTATCGTGCAAATAACCGTGTGAGCATGAAAAAAACCTATTATTTTGACATTACAGACACTTCAATTTTATTTATTTGTATAGATAATCATTAGAAATCCCTTACAACTACGTAAAAACTTTTCCTCAATATGGATAAGTAAATTTAATTCTCTCGATTAGTATAAATAATTTTGAATCGAAGGTATGATGAAAATCTCATGGGTGATGAAGAGGACAGGGCGCGGTTGGCCGCCATGTCCGAGAAGGAGAGAGAACAGGAGATCTTCAAACGTATTGAGAGAAGAGATCTCATGAAAACGAGGTGAGTTAATATATTTTGTTTTCATGTCGCCTATTTGGCGCAGTCTTATTTCGTTCTCATGTCGCCTATTTGGTGCAGTCTTATTTCGTTTTTCATGTCGCCTATTTGATGCAGTCTTTTTTCGTTTTCATGTCGCCTATTTTGCGCAGTCTTATTTCGTTTTCATATCGCCTATCTTGCGCAGTCGGTTAGATAGGCGACACGAAAAAACAGAGGATTTTTGTTTTTTAGTGTATGTATATTTTTTGGCATGCTTTGTATGTATATAGCTTAAATGGTTTGATGGATTTTGACGTTTGAGTTCTTGTTAGATTCGTTTTAATTGTGAGTGGCACTTGGTATATGTAATGTATAAAAGACGGTGTTCTTGCTTCCATCCGTACAAAGCGTTTAATGTGCAAAAAAGAACTTCGTTCCAAAAGTCAAAATCGGTTTGGATATTTTAAGTACCTATATATTTTCATTGTCTGTGTGGTGACGGATTACGAATATGGCGTATCACCATTTCTAGGTGTCATAAGAGCCGACTAAGGAAGTAAACTACGCAAGAGAAGAAAAACTTAAAACAAACCCTATACCGGCTTATCTGGCTAGGTGTGATACAGTAAGCCAAAACCTTCTTTCTAAGGAGAGGCTTATGTCCATCAGTGTGCTATTAAAGGCTGTCGATGATGAATCAAATTTTAAAAAGGGTCATAGCTATTGAACTTATTTCTGTGAAATCGTACTGGTTTCGAGTTCCATTCTTTATCAAGGGTTGAAGTTCTTTTGTAATTACCCTTTTTCACCGTTATTAATTACCGTTGTTTTTTTAAGCAGAAAAGTATTCTATTTATTTATTTTAAACTTAATGCACATGTTGTACAAAGGCCGACTTATTGTCATTAGGCATTCTCTCCCTGTCAATCTTCAGGTGATGTAGAAATATAATGCGGTAGGTGCAAAATAAAATATTAAATTTAACATAATTTAGGTCCAGAGACATACACAATATATAAATATCCAGTCGGGTACTAGCGTTGTGACTGTTCTGCCAATTTTATTGGTACGATACACGAGAGTTACGTAGGTGTGTAGTGTGTACTTAGAGGTGTGGTCGTTCGGCGCAGGTGGGAGATAGAGCGCAAGCTGCGGCTGGCGCGTCGCTCGGCGGCGGAGCGCTGTGCGTCGCCGGGCGAGCTGCAGCGCCGCCGAGACGCGCGCCGACGCCGCCGCGCCGCACGCGACCTGCGCCGCCGCGAGCGGGACCACGAGCGGGAGCGGGAGCGGGCCCAGCCCACTGGTACGCACGCTTTTCATCCATATCTTTATATGTACCCCAATATATCTATCTAATACGTAAAATTCTCGTGTCACGGTGTTAGAAGTTGAACTCCTCCGAAACGACTCGACCGATTTTCGTGAAATTTTGTGTGCACATCGGGTACGTCTCAGAATCGGCCGACATCTATTTTTCATACCCCTATTTTTTTTTACAAAAATTGTTAAAATAATGCATATGGCAAAACAACGTTTGCCGGGTCAGCTGGTATATATATACATTTCGAACACTTGTTATATCTCGTATGTTAACAAAATTTATCCCCATCTAGCATAGGGATGATACCCTTAAAATATATTTACAAGATTTTTTAACGTGATTAATATGTGTAACATGAATAACCCCTATGACGAAAGTAGAATGATCGTTCTCAATAAAATTATCAATACCTAAAATCATATCAAAATTAAAATCATTTTGAAACCAATTAAAACAAACAGACTTACATTCAAAATAATGTGTTTTAAGTACATTTTTGACCTATAGCTGAATAATTTAACGCACTACACTACACCAAAACTAAAAAACTATTCCTATATGTATATTATACAAAAATCCCCAAAATACATTTCCATTTCAATTATAACATCTAACACACATTTTCACAGAAACTGAAGCAGAGAGACCCGAACCAAAAGAACCAGAAAAGGAACAAGAACAGCCACCGCCAAGCCCTGGAGAAATCATGGAGGATCCAAAAGATACTGGTAAGTTTTCTATGATGCACATCAGAATACTGACTGCCTCCTCGTCAATCAATCAATAGTTTTTGGAACAAAGTTCCTTATCGCGTTACACACAGCGGATAGGAGCGATACCGAAAAATATGTAACAAGATTTTTTTCCGACACTTCTTGCTAAACTTCGTTCCAACCGGGGTCCATAGACCCCTCACCCGGTTTTTATTTGTGAATATTGTTCATTTGTATAGGTACACTAGCTATTGCCCAATTGCTGTTTCTTATTTCGTGTTTTTAACTTAGAAAATGACAAACTTCCATACAACCGTTTATCCTTTATTTTATCCCCACCAAAAATCCTTTCTTGACGGGTGCTTTCAACATAAAAGGAATCAGCTGCCAAAATTTCAAGTTTTTAGCCTCAGCGGTTTAGGCTTTGCGTTAATGAATCCAGAATGGACACGGACATGAGTCCGTGTGGTGACTGATTAAGAATACTGAATGTCACCACCCCTATTCATCCCGTGGGTATCATAAGAGCTGACTAAGGGAGCTAACTACGCAGGACCACAACACTGCAAAGAGAAGGAAAACTGGAAACAAACCCTATATCAACCAGCGTCGTATAGTAGGCCATACCCTCCTTTCTAAGGAGAGGCATATGTCCAGCAGTGGACTGTTATAGGCTGTTGATGATGATGAAGCAGTGTATAGATTAAAGTGTTAATTAGGAACAGTGAATTCTATTTATTTGGTATTTTGGAGCATATTTGATGATGAAACTAGGAGATGGATATCTCTTCAGTGGCTCCTAGTAGACTCCTCAAGTTTGGACTCATATGATTCAGTTATCACGAGTCCAACTAATCAGGCTTTTTGGCATTGGTTGAATGACGAAGCCAAGTCTATCTGTTTATTTAAGAAAAGTGACCGAGTTTGCCCTTTCTTTTCATAAAGCTCAACTCCCTGGGAACAGGCAGTTCGGCACAGGCATATAATAAATTTTCGATACACATAATTTTATTATATTTATTTTGCTGAATATTTGACAATACGGAGTTTGTTGCTATTGTGTGTTGATCTATGACTTATGAGTATAAGAGACTATGTATTTCAATTGTTTTTTTATGAATTAAGGCTATTTTGAGGTTGAAGAGAAGAATGGGTCTCTTTTACTTTTTAATTTAGGTTGCCATTAACATGCTGTTTTTGATGTGTAACATCTTTCCTCTCGCTTTCCTGCGATCTGTGGAAGACATTTCTTAAAATGGGACGGAAATTTGTAACAGGTTGCTAGGAAGGCGCTTGATTTGACCAATGATATGTCAGATGATATGTCAGATGTAACACTTCATAGGCAAGTGATATAGGCTTGTTGGTCTAGTGGTTAGTGACCCTGACTGCTAAGTCAGAGGTCGTGGGTTCGATTCCCACCCAGGACAAGTAATTGTCTGATGAGCATGATGATATGTTCTGTCTGGGTGTAGTTAATCTACAGTATGTATGTATTATACATATATATAAATCAACCCGTCTGGCCAGTGTGGTATAGTAGGCCAAAACCTCCTTTCTAAGGAGAGGCCTATGTCCAGCAGTGGACAAATATTCAGATCCTGCCAGCCATCAGCCCCAGGCTGTATTGGCTGGCAGGATTTGGATGCGAGAAGGCGGAACATTTAAGTGGCGTACAATGAAAGAAGCCTATGTGCAGCAGTGGACTGCGATAGGCTGATGATGATGGTGATGATGTATGTGTTTAAAAATGTATGTTTATCTCCGGTTTGATTACCATAGTACAGGCTCTGCCTAGTTTGGAATCAGACGGCCGTGTGTGGGATGTGTGAGGTTTATCTGTGGGATATCATTAACAATTTTTCAACTGTCTTCTTTCTGACATGATCCAATTGTGGCCTTAGACCCAGAAAGATCAGCGTCGCCGCTGTTCGGCGCGGCCAAGACTGAGCGCAAGCGCAACGTGGACGACAAGCGACAGAACGCCATGGCCGCGCTCCGGGCCCAGCGCGACGCCAAGGCCACTAGGGTCGAGCACATCAAGCAGAAGCGGAAACTTGAGGAACAGAAGAAAGAGGAACAGGACGTGAGTTTATACCTTAACCCTGAACCTTTCCTCCTCAAAACTTTATTCTTAAACCTCTAAATGCACCAATACCTATTGGCAAATACTTTATAAACATGTTTCTGCTCTCTTCTCTCTTCTCGTTCCATCTCTATTTGAGATTAGTTCCCCTAATCACCCGTAACCACAGATTTTTTCTGGGTCTTTAATGGGTGTATATCAATTCTTAACTACAGCCATCCATGTTGGTTGGGGTCTTCACTCTCCTAGTGTCCTCATGCATTTCTTTCTTCCTTAGCGTCCTGTATTGGCTGTTCTAACTGAAATAAATGTATATTATCTATTTAACAGGATCCAGATACAGAAATCATAGGCGGTTCAAGCAAACAGAGTGTGAAGTTGAAGGCGTCAGATATTTATTCTGATGATTCAGGGTCGGATTCTGAAGACAATAAATCAACAGGTAAATGACCCCACGCTTTCATTTCAAGCGTATACAGTCGTATCTTTAATAATTATGAACATAACTAATAATTATAAACATTTAATTATTATTTTCATTATCAGGTCGCCGCAGCTCTTCTTCATCTTCCTCGTCCGGTGGTGAAGAAGAAGAGAAGGAACGGAAAAGAGAAGAAGTCGAGATCAAATATGCAGACTCGAAGGACCAGATAAATAAACTTAGGCTTAGCAGGTAATCACTCTACTTAACAATTAAATAAGCATATTTTGGATTCGTTTTCTAAATTCAATCTTGTGATGTTTACTTTTAGATTTAAATTGGAGCGTCTCGTACACTTGCCTTTCTTCGCGCGAGTCGTCAATGGGTGTTTCGTTAGAATCGGCATAGGGAATAATAATGGCAACCCTGTTTATCGGGTACGTATCTTAATATATAAATACTTCATTAATTCATTTTGTGTTTCATAACTAACCTTCCAATGGTGTCTTGTTCGCAGGTAGCAGAAATTATAGATGTTTATGAAACGGCAAAAGTATATAATTTAGGCAATACTAGGACAAACAAAGGATTAAAATTACGACACGGGACACAAGACAGAGTATTCAGATTGGAGTTTGTTAGCAATCAGGTATGTTTAATTGAATGTTAGAGGGTTCAGACCTCCCGGCAAAACCTCACCTGCTCTATATGTTGCTAACATATAATAATATTTCGAACATCTGACACACAACGCCATCTAGTTTCAAACTAAGCAGAGCTAGTACTATGAAAGCTAGATTTACTGCTAGAATATTCAGATATGCAGCATCAATTATAATTTTTTTTATTGATGAATGATGATGATGATGATGATTATTCCGGACGAAGACAAATACAAAAATCATAAAAAATTGTCCAGCCGTTCTTGAGTGATAAATGGTGTAACTAACACGTCTTTGTTTTGTATATAAAAAGATATGTATGTGTTTAGAAATATAAAGTATGTTTATCAGCAGTTTGGTTACCATAGTACAGGCTCTGCCTAGTTAGGGATCAGACGGCCGTGTGTGAGATGTGTGAGGTTATTATTATTAATAGCCATACTCAAATCATCAGGTCTTTTAATGTGACGCACTTTTAGGTAGTAAAAGTACTACCCTCATTTCTTTGTTATAACATTTGTATGTTTCTTTATAGGACTTCACAGAAAGCGAATTCCAGAAATGGCACAAAGCCATCAAGGACGCTGGAAAAAGGCCGCCCACCATGGACTTTGTTAGGAGTAAAATAACAGAAGTCAAAGAAGCGCTAATGTACGAATTTAAGGTAAGTCATGTTTGATATTATTACAACGAACCCTTTAGTATTCACTTAGTACCACAAACAATTTTACGTAATTAATAATATTATTATTATTTCAGGAAGAAGATGTAGAAAAAATTGTAGCTGAAAAAGAGAGATTCAGATCGTATCCCACCAATTATGCCATGAAGAAAACGCAATTAATGAAAGAAAGAGATGTGGCGCAATTAAGGTAAATGATTTAAAAAAAAAATTGTTTGAACTTCCATGAACAACATTAAAATGTCCATCTATAAAATCTATTATTTTGACTAGATTATTAGTCTAGTAGGTAGTGACCCTGATTATTAAGCCAGTGGTTGAGGATTCGATTCCCTCCTGGTACAAATAATTCATGTTAAAAACAAGATCCATTGATTTGTGTCTGGGTGTAATTTATCTATAATATGTATATTTAGTTTGTTACTCAGTTTTGTTTTAATTTTTTAGTTCTGCCTAGTTAAAGATGTCTAAATAACAATATAAATATAATTAAAATCTTGTTTAAAGGGATACTTGGTAGGTAGGTATGGAACATGACATTAAGAGTTTATTTTATTTACAGAGGTGATGATGAAACTGTAATTGAACTGAACGCCAAGATCCAAGAGCTGGAGGAGCGAGCCAACCAGCTAGACAAGACGAGGACATCTTCTATACAGAGTATATCTTATATCAACAATAGAAATAGGAAGCTGAATGTGGAGACAGCTGAAAAAGCCATTATGGAAGAGGTAAACATCTCTTAAATGTTGGGTTTCATCACAAATAACTGATATTAGGCAATCTTGTGTTGATTTTTACCAAGTGCGGGAGGTGAAGGATTAAGAATACGGAGTGTCCTCCCCCCTATTCATTCCGTGGGTGTCTTAAGACCCGACTAACGGAGAAAACTACGCAGCACAACAGGACTGCAATGAGAAGAAAAACCTTAAAACAAACGCTATATCAACCCGTCTGGCCAGCTTGGTAGTACTATACCAAGCTGGCCAGACGGGTTATACAAGGCCTAAACCTCTTTTCTAAAGAAAGGCCTAAGTCCAACATTTAACCAACACTAAAGCCTTTTGATGTGGTGTGAAAAATGCTAAATAGTGTGGTTCTTCAATAGTAATGAAGATTTTTAACACATTTCCATGTTTTGTTTCAGGTGAAAGCAATGAAGGGTAAAAAAGCCGATGATCCCTTCACGAGACGCCATACTAAACCTGTGATGAACTTCAAGTCTCAGAAAGCCAGTGTAAGTATAATTAAACTCCCCCAATGTAGTTCCCCAACGTTCTATTAAAAAAGCCGTGTGGTGTCGTGGGACACCCGATAGGAACGAAGTTGTGACGATCGAGTAAAACTGATTCAACACGATTTTAATTACAACGCCATCTATGAAAGCGGCTATTAACTACATATTTTTCAGTTGGTTTCTAATTAAAACAACTTGTACATTGGTAAAATCTCCTTGAGAAATGATGTCGAATACAATATTTAATTTTACTTAGATGAAAAGTAATGATTTCCTATCTATTCGATAGATGGCGCTGAATGACTGACAAGTGACAATTCAAAATAAAAAGTGTCGTTACAACTTTTCGCGAGAATTTTTGCCGTCTAGCCCCCTTTCACAATGCGCGATAAGGAACTTCGTTCCAATAAATTGGAATCGTATTTAATGTCTTACATTCTTTTAATAGGAGGCAATTAGCCGGGAAGAGGAAGTTGAAGAAGAGAAGTTAAGAGAAGAACAAGAGAAAGCTGCAGCAGAAAAGGAGAGAGAAAGACTGGCAGTAAGTGAACCTATAATATTGTCGTACATCTGACACACAACGCCATCTAGTTTCAAACTAAGCAGAGCTTGTACTATGAAAGCTAGATTGACTGATAGAATACTTATATACTTTTTTATTTGTAAATGTATACATGTTATACATAGAAAATACCCAAAAGATCATACAAAGATTTGGTTCGACCCGGGATTCAAACCCGAGACCCCAGCACAGCAGTCGCATATGCTACCATTGCACCACCGAGGCAGTTAGACCTATGATTAACTATTTAGAGGTAGTAACAAATTGTTTGTTCTCCATGTGGTGACGGATTAAGAATACGGAATGTCACCACCCCTATTCTTTCTGTGGGTGTCGTAAGAGCCGTATGAGGGAGGATACTGTAAAGAGAAAGAAAACTAAAAAACAAACCCTATACCTACCCGTTTAGCCAGTGTAGCATAGTAGGTCATAACCCCCTTTCTAAGGAGATGTCTATGTCCAGCAGTGGACTATTAAAGGCTTTTGATGTGTGATGATGTGTAAATAATTGCTCCAAAGTATTAAACGTTTTGAATACTCAATACGGCCGAAATTTGATCACAAAGCAATCTCTAATTATTTATTGAATAGAAATTAAATAATACCATTTATTCTGACATTAGATTTTTTTTATATATTTTGAGCTTCGATATTTTCGACCGGCCTGTCACTGTAGTGGTTAGTTAGCCTGGCTGTTAAGCCAGAGGATGTGAGTTCGATTACCATCCAGGACAAATAATTGTGCAAACAAAATCATTTGTTCTGTGTCTCGCTGTAATTTATCTATATGTATGTGTTTAGAAATATGTAAGTATGTTTATCAGCAGTCTGGTTACCATAGTACAGTCTCTGCCTAGTTTGGGATCAGACGGCCGTGTGTGAGATGTGTGTAGTTACTATCTTTGCTTGTGTGGTATCGTAAGATTCGTTTTAATTGTTAGTTAAAATTAAAATCGAACTTTTAAAATACCTGTACATTTTTTCGCAGTCGGTTTTTTGTTACTTAAATAATTCGCTTATGTCCATATTAATATCTACCAGCGCATATGTATATTATCGTAGTACAGAATCTCATACGTTTTTCTCTTATAGCAAGAGCAACAATTACAACAAGACGCAGAGAAGGCGAAACGAGAGCGAACCTCTGCGAACGACACCGCCAGCTTGTATTCACTACACGATTTCGATATCAATATAGAATTGGATCTGCCTATTGCAAGTAAGTATTATCTATATCTATTTTGGAACGAAGTTCCTTATCGCGCGTTGTGAAAGGGGGCTAGACGGAAAAAAATCTCACGAAAAGTTGTAACGACACTTTTTATTTTGAATTGTCACTTGTCAGTCATTCAGCGCCATCTATCGAATAGATAGGAAATCATTACTTTTCATCTCAGTAAAATTAAATATTGTATTCGACATCATTTCTCAAGGAGATTTTACCAATGTATACATTGTTTTAATTAGAAACCAACTGAAAAATATGTAGGTAATAGCCGCTTTCATAGATGGCGTTGTAATTAAAATCGTGACAAATCAGTTTTACTCGATCGTCACAACTTCGTTCCTATCGGGTGTCCCACGACACCACACGGCTTTTTTATAACTTTTGCACAAGTACATGCATCGGCAGACTTAATGCTTAAGAAATTCTCTGCCTGTCGACCGATTGGGCAATGCTGAGAAGGAATGAGGTAGGTACATTTATGGGAGGGTAATAAATGATAGAGGTTTTATATAATACCAACTATTTTAGTATTTTTTAAAAAAAAACTCCCGCATTAGGAATATATCCAGTGTCGCGGGGGACTACATACATAAAACGGACACAAAGAACACCCAGACTTAGAACAACAATTTGTGGATCACACAAAGTGTCGTCCCATGTGGGGATCGGACCAACAACACTCAGCGTAGTAGCAAACGGCGTGGCGACCGTTTAAACCACTACGCCATCGTTATTTTTGGTAGTAGCGTTTTGGAACTCACAGTAAATACTCTTTATTTTGTATCTTCTTTTATACATATACCTATAATCTTGGTTCATTAAATCCTCTACGATATCTGATGGCGAACACCACGCGGACGAAGTCACGGGCAAAACCTAGTAAATGTATATCAGAAATCTAGACCATTGAAGACAGAGCTTAATTTAGCTAATTCACTCATAAACTTCCGTGTGGTGACGGATTAAGAATACAGAGTGTCACCACCCCTATTCATCCCGTGGGTGTCGTAAGAGCCGACTAAGAGAGACAACCACGCAGGACAACAGCACTGCAAAGAGAAGGAAAACTTGAAACAAACCCTATATCAACCCGTCTGGCCAGCGTGGTATAGTAGGCCAAAACCTCCTTTCTAAGGAGAGGCATATGTCCAGCAGTGGACTATTAAAGGCTGTTGATGATGACTCATAAAATTAGTGTCTAACGAATTTTTTAACTTTCAGAAACAGTATCGACACAACCGAAGCAGCTCACGACAAAGGTGAGAGAGACGGGCCCCAAACGGTCCCTCAACTTAGACGAGTACAAGAAACGGCACGGCCTCATATGAGGACTGTTTACAGCTCACATGCGCGGCCTGTGCTCGTGACCGGGAGTAGCGGTAGAGTTATCACTGTGGACGAATACGGTACATATTTTTTTAAATTAGTATTAGTATCAAATAGATATTTAAAAAAAAATCTGTTAGTCGGTTTTATGACCGTTTTTTTTTCGTAATCACGTTATTATATTAGTTTTTTTTTTTAATATAAAAAAAATGTACCGTCTCGAAGCTAAACCTACCGATTATTTTTATAAAATTTAATTTATTCTAGCCGATACTCCCACTTATTTAATGTATTCGTATGTGCATAGATAGAGCTTTAGATATTATAACTGGCAATACAACTACAGTGCGGTCGCGGAGCAGAAACAATTTCGTACATTGACATGTTATAATCCTGTCTCTGTCACTCGCGGCGTGAATCTATTGCCGTCTCGCTTGTGTCGTCGCGTCGATGATGTGCAGAGATTGTAAACCTTTTAAGCGTTACTATAAGCTCTGCTTTTGTGAATGGGATATTTAGTTTGATGTGTGTTAGTTACACAGTTAAGAACTATACTGTACGATACAACACGTGTGTGATGTGCGTCAGAGCGTTGACTTTGTGTATACCTGGTAATAATATATTCGTATAAACTTAATATAATATTAAAGTAACTACCTAATACATAAATATAAATTAAACTACACATATTCTGTATATTTCATATATTCTTCAAATATTTTATAGAATTGCACTTTAAGTAAAATTGTTTTTGACCACTGGCGGTGGCACAAAGGTCATTGTACGAAATTCTTCCTGTTTTGTGACCGCACTATAGAATTTTAACTCAACTACAAAATTATAGATCGCAGTGGTAACGCACTTGTGTCTTGATTTGTCGGTGTCTATGGGTGACGGTAGTAACTTGTTTACCACCTGTATCATATAAAAATCTCTACACAAATACATATTTTTCTGCGTATCCTTGTCTTAGGATACATTTATTTTTCAATATTCTGTTTCTTTTTCTAGTCTTATTTGTCTTAGACGATTTTCAATTCCGGTATTAAGGCGATCCAAAGGTCTTCGAAATGCCTGACATTTAGAGCAGGTTGCACTGACCACTGACTGATGGTAAGATATGGTATTACCATGATTACCATAACCAAAAAATTGTCTATTATAGAACTAGGAAGTTTAAAAGTTCTAAGTTTTATTTTATATTATAGAGGCAATGACATTCTGAAATGTAACAACAATATTTCACTTAACAGAGGCGGCAAACAATATCCCTATAAAAAATGTAGAGACCATTTTAGATCAATAATTAACAAACCTCTATCTGAAGTAAAAATATATACCAACGGCACAAATAATATTAATATGTAATCGAGTTAAAATTAAGTTATTACTGTACCTAAACCAAATGGCGAGTGTAGTCATTTACTCCCTGTTATTGTACTGTGTGGTCTATCTCTGTTCGAAAACGCTCTAAACTAAACTAAAAATCACAAAAAAAAAAACTATTCTGAAAACGTCACATTTGACAGGACAACATTTTTTTTTTAGCCACAGAATTAGCACCAATATCAAATAATAATTATTATATGGACATTTTGTGGCCTAGACCATATAAAATACACCTATTTCACAGAATGGTTACTGGTGATCAGAAGGCCAATTCTTTTAGTAAATGTTCGGTCACAATTCAGTTCCGATCTCACAACTATCATAAAAGGTATTTATCGAACGTTGACTGTATTGTGATTATATCGCATTGTAACCAACAATTGAATCGCTAATCTGCTTGTCCTATTTTACGTTTTATGATAGTTGCGACATCGAAGGTTGATCGGCACTGAATTATGCCCTTACTTTTATTATGGGAAATGGCCTTCTGGCCACAACTACCAGAAGAGAAATTAAGAAACTGTTTAAAAATATGCATATAGTTTTACACTTCATTTTTGGACACATTATATATATTTACTACATTCACACAACGCCATCTAGTCCCAAACTAAGCAGAGCTTGTACTATGGCTACTAGACAACTGATATAAATACATAAATACTTTTTTTTTGTAAATACATACATATTAGAATAGAAACACCTAGACCAAATCAAACATGAAATGTTCATGCACACAAATGTTTGACTTGAGCGGGAATCGAACCCGCGACCTTTGGAATAGCAGTCCGTTACACAAACGACTATGCCATCCGGTCGTCTAGTAGTCAAGTATGTTATACCAATACAGTATAAGGTACATAAGTACTATAAACCTCCAGGTGATTAAGGTAGGTAATATCGGAATCTGTCTATCGTGCATTCGAACCTATTGGGTTTATTCAAATTTGAATATAATTAACGTTATTATGATGCCATTTCGTGTCACTTGCAAGATGACGTTGAATTGACACAGTATGTGTATACTCTGTTGCGTCACCATAGAGTATTTGTAGAACTATTTTTTTAAACTGACAGATGACGTTGATCTTTGTCTATTGACCATAGAGATAATATAATAGACGGAGTGAACTGTATATTCTAACGTACGGCCGTTAGACAGAGAAAGAATATTGGTTTGGTCTTGCACCTCTTTCTACTCTTTAGAGGGCATTTAAGATAGCCAATCTGTGAAAAGAACAGAGAGAGAGTTGCAAGACCAAAACTATATTATTTATCCCTCTACCAACCGTACGCGATAGCGCCTTATTGACTTCCTCTATATTTATAAGCTCTTTGTTATTAACAAGGAGTTTGAATAACTCACTTGACTGCGCATAGACGGCAATCGTGACGTCACGGTATTTTTTTTATGATAATAATTTTAGTAAATGTTGTTATATCTGTTGGCTTGTCTATGGCTCTTGCTATGTAGTGTATGATACGATTAAAATATCCCACATTAGGTTAAACTTATTGAATAAATACCTCGGCGTGAGCCCGTTAGCCTTAATTATTATTGTAATTAGTTATTACCTATTTATTGTTGCTACAATGTATTATATAGCTAGATTAATATAGATTTATTGGCATTTGTATCTTTAAAAATATCTTCATCTAAATATATTGAAGTCGCTACTGTTCTCTTAATATTAGGGTTTTCTACTGCAATATCAAAATAGCTAGTTTGATTTCCGCCCAATGCAAATATTATATATAAACGAATATATTCTTCCGTGTGGTGACGGATTAAGAATACGGAATGTCACCACCCCTATTTATCCCGTGGGTATCGTAAGAGCCGACTAAGGGAAAAAACTACTTAGAACAACAGCACTGCAGAGAGAAGGAAAACTTGAAACAAACCCTATACCAACCCGTCTGGCCAGCGTGGTATGGTAGGCCAAAACTTCATTTCTAAGGAGAGGCTTATGTCCAGCAGTGGACTATTAAAGGCTGTTGATGATGATAAATATATTCATCGCTACGTCTATTGGCATTGGTCTAGTTGTAAATTATACCCTGTTTCAGTACCCACAGTACAAGCATATTGGGTCTAAGCAGTTCTAGGTAATAAAATATCCCAGCATATTATTATTATTATTCCAATCTATCTTTCTTTTATAGCTACAATTGTTATATATTAAATAAAAACTTCTAAATGCCAAATCTCAATGTAATCGAGCTATATAGTTGGAATGGCTTAGCATTCTTTATATTGTAGGTATGTCGAAAAATTTGCAGAAAAAGCAATAAAAAAAATTAAGGAATACTTGTATTTAATAGTAAGATATGTGAAGGTTTACATATATTTTACTGACTCGATGTTACTTAAGTAATTAAAACAATAACGTTTATACAGTATTGTTATCCGGATTGTAATTCAATTATCTGTTGATTGGACACGATCAGGTTTTGGTGAGGGTTCATTTCATATCGAATCGCTCTCGACGGCGGTCGTGTTCGTTGTTGCGATTGGTGGAGAATTCAGTGCTGGTTTAGAACGATTTGATTGAAATAAACTCGCATTTGATCCCGGATCCGAAATTAAATCTAATTTAAAATCAAATATAACTACACAGCTAAGTGTTTGTGGCTGTCGCAAACTTCTCGTTTGTTACTACCATAAAATTAAAGATAGTTGAATCTATGAAGGTAAGAGTTAAGGAGATCCGTCTCTGTATGAAAGTTTCCTATTCGAAGCTTTTCAGATGCCGCTAATGTAGCGAGGGATATTAATAAATTGGAGGGAAATACTTTCACATTTTTCAAAATAAATATTATCTTCTAAAATATTGTTATCGCGTATTAATAAACACATTAATTTTTATAACTGTATGTAGTAGCAAAAAAAAAATTTTAACACATACTTTTTCATTTCGTTCTCTTTGTTTTATTCCTATTCTTGAAATATATGTTCTTAGATATAAGACGGGCCTTATAAAATATCCTCTAAGATTCAATCTAGCAATTTTAAGATTGTTTCGAGTGTTGCAATTGTAAAAATTCTGAATATCGTTTCAAACTCGTAATGAAAGAAAGAGCAAGAGAATTGATAAGGGTTACAAGCTTGCTGGGTTGACTAAAAATATTTTTAGATTGTGTTGAACACTACGAGAGACTGCACGAATGGCATAGTGGTTTGAGCGGTCACTTCGCCACTTCATATTACGCTGAGTGTTGTGGGTTCGTTCCTCACATGGGACAACTCAATGTGTGATACATAAGTTGTTGTACTGAGTCTGGGTGTCCTTTGTGTCAGTTTCACGTATGTTTGTGAAGCCCCTTGCGACACAGGATATATTACTAGTACGGGAGTTGTTTTTGAGAAAAAACCTACGTTATTTTTCAATAAATACGCATACAACACAAACTCTTTATTGCTAAAATTTTCAAAATTGTTTGAAATCGTCTTTTATGTTGACTCTAAAGACGAAGAATAAGTACTGAATGAATGACGAGAAGAAATGAAGTGTTTGCTGTATCTACATTTTATCAAGATTTCAACTCATCAGTGCTAAACCATATCATATACCACTCATCACACATGGTTCAGCACTGATGAGGCTTAAACTTAATACAGGGTTTAATCGAAATACAACCTATGTTACTAAAGATATCTTTAAAAATGTTTATATAAAGATTTATTAATACATTGGGCTGTACCGGTATTATTTTTAACACAACATAAATAAATATTTTTAGTAAACCCTGCATATAACTTAAATTGAACTGGACTTAACCTTTGATGATCTGTGACACATCTCGGGTAGATCAGATGTTTACACAAATGTCATTGATTGACACTTTATGTAAACTTTTTAATTTATTTGACTATGAACAAATGGTTATAGTTATTACTTAAAAATATGTAAATGAAGCGAAAGGCTTAAATAAAATATAAAACTGAATTGATCTTTTATTTGTAAATCACCCTAATGCCTTTTTTTGACGGGGTGGAAAATCCCTTCGGATCTCCTGCTCCTCGGGGATTCAGGAGGCAGGAATATGTGGTGATTCCACTAAATACCACCCCGACAGCTCAGGTGCCCTACTCTGGGAGGACCTGGACCATGTTATTTCAGGTCCTCCCCAAACTGACACCATGCCTAATCAGGCCCTATCCCAGGGGAAAAACACTTCTTCCCCTTAATCGCGACGTAGCGGCCCAATTTCGTCTTAATACAATCATCAATACGCCTTCCTATCCCCTAAAATCTCCCAAATGCCTAACAATAGCTTAAGTTTACGAAATTGTAAAGAAAAATCATTTACTAAACGTTGCTAAACTCTTATTAAAAGTGAATATTCGTTTAATCATGAATATAAATAAAATAAAAATATGAATCTCTTTCAGAAATATATTGGTAATTGTCTATTTTTCATATTATTAGTAATCATTACATCAACATCCTTAGGAGTCCACTGGCTGGACATAGGCCTCTCCTTAGACAGGAGGTTTTGGCCTACCATAAGTTATACTACATTATAACTATTCTCCTTCAACAAGAGAAGAGTACTATATCAATAATACCATTAGCTGTTCATAACAATCAACATAAAATAAAAATGGATTCCCTAGCTCGACATCATAAAGAGGGCGTATCTTTGTATAATTCTGGCAAGAACCTAAAAAATTGAATAGTGAAATTAATTCCGGTTAATATTGAAGGTGAAGGAAATAAAAACTATATAATTATATATGACGACCGAATGGCGTAGTGGTTTGTGTAACGGACTGCTATTCCAAAGGTAGCGGGTTCGATTCCCGCTCAAGTCAAACATTTGTGTGCATGAACATTTAATGTTTGATTTGGTCTGGGTGTTTCTATGTATAATAAGTATGTATTTGCAAAAAAATATTTATATGTATTAATATCAGTTGTCTAGTGTCCATAGTACAAGCTCTGCTTAGTTTGGGACTAGATGGCGTTGTGTGAATGTGGTACAATATTATTATTATTATTATAGCTGACATGTTGAAACAGTATTTTAATAAGAGTAACATAGACAACAATATTACGTTACGGTGTAGATTATCTGATAAATTGAATAACATAGAACAAAGTCAATTAGTAGTAACACCTAATGACATCAGAAACATATTACGTAACATGAGACGCGGTAAGAGTGAGTGAGCACGATGGTCCAGGTAATAGATCTGTGTAGTCTTAGCGAAATATAATGGTTTTTTGAGAAATTTCTACCTACCTCAGGAAATTATAAAAACGCTGCTTGTGCCTTTCCTTAAAATAGAACTGGTGATTTATCTAGCACGAACAACTGCCGACCAATAGCCCTTGCAACTATGTTGGCCAGGGAGCTGGAGCGATTCATTCATATAAACTTTACAGCGTTTTTACACCTGGACGATGGTTAGTTCGGTTTTAGATTACAAGTCCCAACAGATATTGCAATTTTTGGCTTGAAACAAGTTGTAACTGTAATAGTTAATAGTTATAATAGTTAACAAGTCTACAAGAACGAGCCCAGACGCTAGTCGCCGCATCGAGGTCTCCAAGTTGTTGTGGAAAACCTCGCAGTCGTTTAAACTCCGGTTGGGGGATAAGTAAACACCATATACTTATGGTGATCCCCCACTCGGCAGCAACATATCCAGTGTCCTTGTCTCTTAACGACAAGGTCAGGGAAAAAACCGCCGTAGAGCCGACGACTTCCACGGTGCCGTCCCGGTCACCAAACCAGTTTTGACGGGGAAGAACATAATAGGGCTCCGCGGCTACGGCCACACCGATCGACCACTGCGCCATGGTTTGCAGGAAGAGGTCCTGCGCACCGGCACAGTGGTTCAGGTTTGTCTGGACAAGGAGGTTGGAGGCTTGGTCCATTACTGGGCCCTCTCTGCAACCTTCTCCATGGGCAACTATGACGAAGCACGAATACGTAAAAATTATGATAATAAATAAAAAAATAAATAAATAAAAAATTATGTATGATCAATTGCACAGTTTTTTTAATAATAATAATTTATTGCACAATAGACAATTTGGTTTTACAAGGGGTCGCTCCACAACTGATGCTAGTGTTGAGCTAGTAAAACATATATTTGATGCCTGGGAGGATGCCCACGATTCTCTAGGTATCTTTTGCGATTTATCTAAGGCTTTTGATTGTGTTGTTCATGAAACGCTGATCAGGAAATTACAGCACTATGGTATCAAAAATAAAGCCCTGGAACTACTTGCCTCATATCTATGTAATAGGATTCAAAAAGTTGATATTAATGGTGAGCGGTCTCCAGGCTCTGTGATAGAAATGGGCGTTCCACAGGGTTCTATTCTCGGCCCTTTTTTGTTTTTAGTATATATTAACGACTTACCTCACTTTGTCAAGGACAATCTCGAGATTGTGTTGTTTGCAGATGATACACCACTATTATTTAGACTAAAACGGACACTTTCTGATTTCACATTTGTAAACAGCGCCATTTCGAAAGTGGTTCATTGGTTTGATGTCAACAATTTACTATTAAATGAACAAAAAACTAAGTGTATACGTTTCACTATGCCAAACGTCAAGCCAGTGAAAACTACTGTGATAATTAAGGATGTCGGGCTGGACCTTGTGGACACTACGACATTTTTAGGTATAACACTAGATGCTAAGCTACAGTGGGGCCCACATATTGATAAATTGTCGAGTAGACTCAGCTCAGCAGCATACGCAGTAAGGAAAATCCGAGAGTTGACTGATGTTGATACAGCACGACTTGTTTACTTCAGTTACTTTCATAGCATAATGTCGTACGGTATTCTGCTGTGGGGGAATGCTGCCGACATTCAAACTATTTTTGTGCTGCAAAAGAGAGCTATTCGAGCACTTTATAATTTAGGCAATCGTTGTTCATTGAGGCAGAAATTTAAAGAAATAAATATAATGACAGTGGCAAGTCAATATATTTATGAAAATGTAATATATGTTCACAAAAATAAAGATAGCTTTTTGAAAAAAAGTGATGTACATGCCATAAATACCAGATATAAAAATAAATTTGTTGTACCCGCCTCTAGGCTCCAAAAGATAAACAAGTCTTTTCGAGGTCAATGTGTCCGATTTTATAATAAAATCCCAAATAATATTCAGGAGTTGAGTATTAACAAATTTAAATCCGCAATAAAACGTGGCTTGTGCCAGAGGGCCTACTACTCGATTGTGGATTACATGGAGGACAAGAATGCTTGGGATTAATTAGCGCAGGCTATTTCTTTCTTAAGTAAAAATGTGGTGTGGCTAGTATGTTTTTTATTATTTTTTCTATTTTTTATGTTTCACTTCATTTTCTCTTGTATTCGTTTGTTCTTCTTAATCTTGTTTTCTCTTCGTTGTTTTTTAACCTTTAAGTCCTTAATAACGGACATACTAGCACACATCAAAACAATGTTGTGATATATTTAATAGTGCCATTGTATCTACTTGTGAATTGCAAAAGAGTGGCCATGAGTTTGTTTGCCCTTTCTTCTCATAAGGCTCAACCCCTTGGAAACGGGCGGTTGTAGATCGGCACAGGCATATCGTAGATTTTGTATGGGTTTGATTTTGTTAAATTTATTTGGTTACTATTTGACAAAACAGAGATTGTTGCTTTTGTGTGTGTTGATCTATGACTTTAGAGTCTACATGGAAGACGATTTCAAACAATTTTGAAAATTTTATGAAATAAAGAAAGTTTGAGTTTGAGTTTGAGTACGTCGGAGGCAGCCAGTTCCTACCTCGGTCCGAATTGGCCGTAGACAGCAGCGCCTCCCCCACCTAAGGATAGAGGCGATACCGTCTTCGTTGCGTAGGGTGGTGCCGGACCCCGCACCCCTACTTGACTTATTCCTGACGAATCATCTTGTATTGGATGGACTACGATGATAGTATAGTGTAACAATTACACAAAAGTCCCCGCAGGTGCTTTTGAGATGCTCAAGGGTCCACAATATTTGAAGAGTTTCATGTCCACGTCAGTCCTTGTTAACTAGTCATTGTTTGTGTTTTACATCCGTCTCGATAGATGGCGTTGTTGCATAAACCTAGATCGGAATATTAAGATTCTTCGAGACGATATAACATTGTGTAACTTTTCTATTAAATTTATCTCGTCCTGAGCAAGTGTGTTTAGTTCAAATACCTTGACGGCCCTTGGGACTTTTTGGAAGATTGTACAGTGCCATTAGCATTCAGTGCAGTAATTTATGGATATTATTTTTGATACTTACGTTTCTGCTTACTTAGATCATAATTATTGTTATTATTTTAATTAAAAAAAAATACATTGGATTCCGTAAAATTACTTTATTCGAATGAATCTTGAAAACCTCATCTTTAAAATGACTTAAAAAGGTTACTTTTAATATTAAACAAAATTAAAAAAGTATGTTTGAACATGATATTGTTACGACTCAGAAATACTATATGATCATAAATAAGGCAAATATCGGTAAATATTGGCAATAAATTTTCGACTAAACTTCCTTCTGCGGGCCTACCTTGATAATTCCAGCGGGCGCCTCTTGAATTTCTTCTTCAGTCGTGCCATTATTCACTTCAATTCTAGCACTCGAGTAAAAACCAACGGATATCTTTTCAGTTGTACGCACTGTCTTGGTCAAATTTTGTAAATTTTGCAGTCTTCTTAAAGGAAAAGCATAAAAGTGATGATTCTTATACGTGGCGGCATAATTACAAAATACGTCTCCATTATTTAATGTTGCCTCGTAGTCTACTTCGACTTCCAATGTACCTTGTGATGCCGAAAGTACTGCCACAACCTTCCCTCCTGGAGGTATAGTGGTTTGTACACTGGAAGTAGTTCCAAGTGTGACAGTTCTGGATTCAGTAGTATCTTCTCCCCAAGATGAAGTATAAGCTATTGAGCTAGTACCACCCGCGCTTCCCGCTCCAAAATTAACACTGTAGGTGATATCTTGTCCCACGGTCAGATCACCCCCCTTACTCCAAGTATGTTCGACTGTCTCCTCTACCGACTGAGACACACTCGTACTATAACTAACGGCTATTTTGTTGTGGTTATTAACATACTCCGCTGTAGCGACAGCAACAGGCTTTGACTGAACGCCGAGAACTCTGGCTTTGACGGGTTTAATAGTTCTCATAACTATATCCCAATTATATTGACTGTACACATTTCCCCAAGGCGTGGGTGGTTTTACATAAACATCATCACAACGTTTTCCTTTATACTTTTCTGCTGCACTTTTCAAGTTTTCGTCATCAAGACGAAAAGTCTTTCGTTCCTTGTCGCTAATTACAGACGTATCAAAACCGCTGAAATCAACGGAGACATCATCTGCTGTTTTCCCCGGTATTATTTTAATCTTAATACGACTATACGCAATAGCTGGTAGAAGTAAGAACAGTAGGCATTTAGTCAACATTTTGATCTGAAATCATACAAACACAATTCATTTCACAGAATTTAAACAATAACTGTTAATAAATTATCTATACAGCTTAAGTATTATTATTAACTAGCTTTCTTCTGCTGCATCGCTCGTGTGAATGACCCATGTGAATGGCATTGGCCGTTTTGTTTTTTTAAGAAACAATTTTTTGTTTTTAAATTTGGATTTGGAGAACGACTTTTCATCGTCATCATCAACAGCCTTTAATACTACACTGCTAGACATAGGCCTCTCCTTAGAAAGGAGGTTTTGGTCTACTATACCACGCTGGCCAGACGGGTTGGTATAGGGTTGGTTTCAAGTTTTTTTTGTCTCTTCAGTAGTTTGCTCCCTTACTCGCCTCTTAAACGGCATGACAAGGGATTTAGAACTCTTCCGGCCCGCCAGGCCCGTGAACGGGCCAGATACCGCAGACGACTCAGGCGCCGGAGGTCGCAGTGAGGCCATCTGTCACCCTAGCAGAAGCAGGCCGGGGTGGCGGCGAGCGCGTTGCGAAGCGCGCTTCCAGGAAGCAGAGGGAACATGGGGTTCCCACACGGGGGGGGGGGCGTCTACTCGTCTGTAGATGGCCCGAGGTATGTCGGGACACCAGGGACTTCCTTTCTAGGGTATACCTGGTTCCCCGGCTATTAGTACCCGAGACGGCGTGCGGTTTTAGTCGGTTCGAGTCCGACATGCCACCGATAGGGGATTTCCGCACGGGAAAAAAAAGGGGGATTGGAATGCAAAGATTGATAACACGGTATATAATGGCCACACCCGCCATCTTGAATTTGTAGATTAGTATTAAAATTCTACTAAATATTATTTGTTATTCTACTATGTAATTATTACTATAATATTAAATAATTATTCTACGTTTACCAACCTGCTACCAGTTTGTAGACAGCACTGAATATTACTGTTTCAGTAATATTCATGTCCCCTACTTATAACGACTAAAATAAACCTAAAAATTATCAGTACGAATGTTAAAATGTGAAAATGATTAAAAGTTTAAATAAAATAACATTGAATTTTAAGTCTAGGTATGTAGGAAAATAATTAAATACATCTATCAATGTTCATGTTTGTTTACGACTACCGGTTACACCGTTTTAAGTCTAGCTAATTGCTAACATTAAAAATTTAGCTTTCTGTATTACCGGTAATGACCACGTTTTTTTATATTTATATTTTAGTCGACATGAAATTTTGACGATTTAAAAAAAGTTCAAAAAATCCATGATAGTGACAACAATCCTCAGAGCTTTTTTCTCAAACTAGGCTGGGGTCGACTTTTAAGCCTACTACGATACGGCTGAACTTCATAATCCATAACACAAGTACTAGATGAAAGCGGAGTTCTGTAGAAAGACTGCTGCCGGACCTTTTAGGGTTCCAACTACCCGTAACGATTGCCCCAGATGTTCCTATGGCAAACAGGGACCGACGCCGCGATGACACGGAGGGGTCTCAATGTGTGAAGAATGGTCACCAATGCAGAGACTAACCAGGCTAGGATTGCTTAAGGGTGCTCGTGGCTATTTAGAGCCCCCATTGATAGCGACAACATTGTTAAAAAAATGATTGATTTCAGATGATGTAGTAAGCGATTAACCACTGCCTAACACCTTCAACTCAACAGTGACAAGGGCTTTGTCTTAGAGACGAGAATATTTGTCTTTTTGGTTTAAAGTTTTGACGGTCTTATTAACCCGGCAACAGTGTCAATTTGTGCCAATAATTATCGAAGTGATGTAGATTGTAGTTTTACCATGTTGTACGATGGTGGAAAGTCTTAATTTTATTAATTCCTTGGAACTGTCCTCGTAGTACAAGCAAAAGAGAATGGGCAGTGAAGCTTCATCTCTGATCAACAACTAGGTGTAAAACTGATCTTCAGCCAGCAATCGCCGTATAAGCTGGGTGAAAGAAGAGACGCATGTCATTTCCGGAATCTTTTTTTGTTAACGGGGTGGAAAGTTTCCGCCTCCTTGGGGATGTGTGGTGTGTGTGGCCAGGAATATGTGGTGTTTCCACTAAAAACCACCCCGACGGCCGGAATCACGCTCGAGGATTGACGGGGCGCCCAGTAAAGCCCGATCCTGGGAAAGCTGCGGGCTTCCCCCGCCTATCGGCCCTATCCTTATACTATGTTACAGCCCGATCGCATTTTTGCGACCAGGCCGCTATCCTATCGCCTACCACAGCAGTTAATCTGCTACTAGACCTCTGGCAGCCTGCGGTCCGGTCGACGGCTGGTATCGCCGCCGACGTCCTCTACGCTCTGGATCGGCCCCCTCCCGATCTGGTTCAGCGGTCTCTTTCTGGAGCATTACACACTCACAGAAAGAGACCACTGCGCCCCAGCCCTCCACACCCGCCAGCATGGCAGCAATTTTTACTGGCAGAGACAGGTCTCGTCCGATTTGGTCGACCAGAACTTCGCGTCACAGAATTACCAGTTAAATATAAACAATCACTAGTCATTTAAAGATAAAACAATATTATATTCAGAAACATTGTGTTTAGGATACATTGTGAGCTGCAATAATCATTACCATAATATATAATAGGGCAGAATAGGGTATGAGTTGAGCACGGCCTCTATTCGACATTACAGTGTTTAACTGCTGACAAGGCAATTCAGCATTTAAAACAAAACCAGGTGCGTAACTTGGCGTCCAATGAAACTTTATGCCTTGTTTAGCTGCATAAGCTTGCACAAGCGTCTGGTGTTCAGTGGAATTACTAAACTTTGTACAGTTCAGCAAGCTGGTTCCTTGCCCCAGGAAAACAACCACCGTCCGACAAGCCTCGTCTCCTAGCAAAGAGTCTAAAGTATTCTAAGAAAGCATCTGTAGAAATATCAGAGGTCAATTGCCTTAGTAACCAAGGAAATATAAATGCAATCGTTATCTTTACTAATTACTGTGCTTACGTATTTCGGCGTATAAATAAATGCATTATAATAGCCCTTATCTAAGTAGTATAATTATACGTTCCAGTTTAAAGAATTGCACTTGTGTAAAATGAAGTAAATTACAAAAATATAAAATAATGGCAATAAACCATTAAAACAAAAGAAAGTGCATATAAATTTTATGATATGAGTTCATCCGTAGGTGTCGTAAGATAAGTATCCGTGACGCAGGTGATCACTGGGATGATGGAAGGATGTTTCGGGGATCACCTGTGTCTGATCCGCAAGGAGCCAACGCCTGAGTGCCACCACTGCGATGGCCAGACCGTGGACACGGCTCTCCACACGCTGGCAGAGTGCCCGGCGTGGGTTGAGCATAGGCGAGACGAAGAACACCCAGACTCAGAACAACAATTTGTGGATCACACAAAGTGTCGTCCCATGTGGGGTTTGAACCCACAACACTCGGCGTAGTAGGAAGCGGCGTGGCGACCATTTAAACCACTACGCCACAGGAGAGACATGCTTCTTCACAAATGGGCTCGACGGGAGTGAAACCACGGCCTCACAGAAAACCGGCGATAAGGGTGAGGGAAAGAGGTTTATGTCTAGTACAGAGAATTCAGCTTGCTATGCAACATGGCAATGTCAACAGACTTCTTCGAATATTACCAGTCGGCGATGATGCGAAAGAAGTTTTGAAGCGTGCATTGGGTAGCGGTGGGATTGGGAATATATAATTTAATAATATATCTCACACATCTCACACACGGCCGTCTGATCCCAAACTAGGCAGAGCCTGTACTATGGTAAACAGACCGCTGATAAACATACTTATATATTTTTAAATACATACATATCATAGATAAATTACACCCAGACACAGAACAGATGACCGTGCTCATCACACAATATTTGTCCTGGATGGGAATCGAACCCACGACCTCTGGCTTAGCAGTCAGGGTCACTAACCACTAGACCAACAGGCCCGTCATTCACAGACACATAAAATGACGACGCTAATTTTAAAGATAGGAAATCTTTATCATCACAAAATTATTTTTTAATACACAGGTGTATAATATACACCTGTGTATTACATATACACTGTATATGTATACTATACTTATAATACCAGTGTAACATATGACACACACCTAGAGATATTTTGATAGACTACATGTGCTGTATTTTGTCTTTGTTTACTGACTTCCAATTAGATGATACACGTATTTCTAATAGTAGATACTAGCTGACCCTGCAAACGTTGTTTTGCTATTTGCATTATTTAAAAAAAAATATTTTAAATTTCTAAAAATCCGTTCTTAGCTGACCTCTACTCGGTGAAAAGAATATTCCTACCAATTTTCAAGTCTTTAGCTCTAATGGTTGAAGAGATATCGTGATGAGTGACTATATACGTGGAAATCTCTTATAAATAGATTTATAAATGGCCATCAGTTGTTAATGTATTATGTTTTATTTTTTATAACACTAATTGTGAAAAATATAAAAAAATCTCTGGTACAGCATTCTACAGACTGACTTGAAGCTAAAAAAAATTACGACAAATGACATGTGTTGAAAAAATCACAAAATAAGAACTTTAAATGCGAATATTTGAGCAGTGCCGTTATAATTTTATTTCAACATCAACTACTATTTATAACAGTCCAAAACTAAAGTGATTACTACACGAAGTAAGTGAAGGCGTAAACGCAATCTTGGTTTACAGCCATTTGTAGGTTGTTTACCCGCCCATTACCAATTTGTAGTCATCACTAGT